TAAAGATAAATAATATTTCATTATGTGTATATGTATATACACAAATAATGGAATGATATATATGATATGCAATAATATATATTATATATAATGTAAATCACACTTCCTTTGCCAATTTATCCACTATCAGACACTTAAGTCATTTTCATACCTTGGCTTTTGGGAATCATCATTTCTTAAACTTGCTGCCCACAGTTTTTGTTTTTCAGAAAGTTTGTATTTTCTCACTCATTTCCTTTTTCCTGGTGAGTACCTTCACATGATTGAAGATATCTATGGAAAAGAACTATATACTTTATTTCTGGGTGGAGCTATCTGATCATGTACCCTCAGTGAGAACAAGTACCTGACTCTGGAACAGAAGCAGGTAAAATGTGCCCTTCACTCATTTTCCTGCATCTTCATGTCTATGCCTTGATACAAATTTATATTTCTGCAAGTATTTTAAAGAAAACAAAGGTATCTTTGTGGTTCAGAATGGAATGAGGAGAGAAACTCTCAATCCTTCTTTAAAACATATTAAAATGTCTTTAAAAGGGTAGGTTGGGCCTCCTTGTATAAGGGAAAACCAGTTCACTTATTATTAAGTTTCATCAAAATTATATTTTAAAGTCACTATTTTAAAAAAACTATTCTGCTAGGTGAAATAAGCCAGGCGATGAAAGACAAATACCACATGATCTCACCATTAACAGGAACCTAATCAACAAAGTGAACAAGCAAGAAAAGTATAGCCAAAGATATTGAAATTGAGAACAGGCTGACAGTGGCCAGAAGGGAGAGGGGAGGGGATAAAGGGGGGAAAGGGTGAAGGGTTTACCAGAACAATTATAAAGGACATACAGACAACAACAAGGGGGGCCGGAAATAGGGGAGAGAGGTGGGGAGGGCTGGGGTAGTGGGGAGGGGTGAGGGGGAAAGGCAGAGAACTGTACTTGAAAAACAATAAAAAATTGAGGTTTAAAAAAAACTATTCTACTTTTCATTATGAGTTTAGAAAATGCATATTTATTTTAGTAGGAAATGAATCTTTAATAGTAGTTGGAACAATAGGAACTACTTAAGTTAACATAAATTAATTGTACATAATTGTTGTCCTGGTTGAGCCCATTGAACTATGAACATTTAACCGCCACTGATATCAATTCTATTATATTTTTCATTAGTTATAATTCTCCTAAAGCCAAATCTTATTTATCCACTCCATAAGTATTTTTTCTATGAACTCCAACAACATTCAGAACCATGAATTCAGTTAGAGAATAACATGTGGTCCTTTAGTTCCATGCTAAATGCAGAGTCTAACATATAATCACCACCAATCACCACCTCTTCCCCATTATTTTCATATTATTATTACTCTAATTATATAGAAATTTTTCACTTTTATACCTCTTTGCACATCTCTATGTTTCACTCTTACACACTGTAGCTGTCAATATGGATCTCTGCACCAATCTTGCCCTTCTCCACCTCTGTTCATGTGCATTACTCAAACTCTACCTTCAGACAGTCACACCTTAGTTTCACAGAGAATAGCCTTGCCTATAATAGTCTCTATCTGCCTCATGTTAAAGTTAGTGAATTGCTTCCCAGTCGGGCCTTCTAGATGGTAAATTTTTATAAGACCATCTTCAAAGATAAGGGTAGTTTCCAAATCTTTCTGGATCCTCCCTATCACCTGATGCAATGTTTTGTTCTTAGAATGGTTTTAATAAATGGTGTTGAATGAGACACACCTAACTCTCATTCTTCTTCCATATTTATCTTAAGAAGCCTCCACCTATGGCCTCAGTTGGGTCCAACAAGGAAAATAGGACAATAAAACTTCTGTAATATCAGGTCTCTGCAGTGACAAGAAAATCACGTCAGACAGAATAATGTCTATTAAAATACCAAAACATGTGAAGTAATGATATTAATCAGAATAGTAGAAATAGTAATTATAGGAGTAGCTACGACATTTTGAATTCCAGCCACACATGTAGTAAGTACTATGCTAAGTGCTTTAGAGGCAATATCTCATTTTTTTTTGCTTATAAATGAGAACTATGATCACTATTTTGCAGACAAAGAAACTGTAGCTTAGAAAATATAACTTGCTTAAGATGGCACAGCTTGCCCACAGAGCGGTACAAATCCAAACTATATCTCATTGATTCCAAAACTGTCCTTTAAAACCAATACTCTGAAATATCTCCTATTCATCTTTGGTCAGCGCCTTCTTTCGTTTCAATCCTCTGTTCTTCCAATGTCAGCTGCAGCCTATCTTGACTGAAAGTTTGATTGGGGTCAGTATCATCCTCACTTTCACTAATGAGCTTTAGATTTTGAAAAACCACTTTGAAAAACTCCAATGCAAATCAAAGCCTTCTGTGAACTGCTGCAGTTCTTTGAATCAACACCACACACCTCACAGCCAGTTGGGCATCGTGAACTTATTTTGAATGCTATGAATTACAATAGCATTTTCTTCATTCTATTTTTCTACTTCATTGATCATTTATTTTTTGCACTTCCTGAAACAGTGATCTCTGCCTTTTCTGTACTACTCCTTTCAAAGCTATTATAAATGATTTCAGCCTTCACCACTAAAATGACTATTTCTATTAAGTCACTAATGCTCTAAAACTTGCCAAATCTAATGGATGCCATCTATAGCATATGACAATGTGAGCACCTTCTTCTTTTTTTGAAATTTCATTTCTTATTTTTTCCAAATTGCCCAGATTTTTATCTGAGTTTTCAAGATAGGTGTTTTAACTTTCTTTCTTAGACTGCTAAATTTTTACATTTCTTTTGACTGCCCACTAAAAGTTGGAATACCTACAAGGTTCTGTGCCAAGTTCTATCTTTCACGATGATCTTTCAAGTTCAAGTGTCTCTCTCTTTTTTAAGCATGCTATCTCCTATAGCAACCTTAGTTACTCATACATCTTCAAGTGGTTATTTAATTACCAAAGAACTAATCTGGTTTGTGTGAGGTGAAGCCCTTCTGTATAAGACTAATAAACCCTGGCAAACCCCTGTCAGAGGATTTCTCTATTTCCTAAAAAATGCCCCAGCTACAATGTTGCTCAATGACCTTAGTGATAATTCCTTAATCACAGCAGTTTAACCCTGTGTCTGTTAATTAGTAGATTTTTAAGTAATGTCAACTTAAAGAAGTCCACTCAGGTCTTATTTTATTTCTCTTTACTGTAAGTATTGATTGTTCCTATACAATACAATAGCTCAATAATACAGCTATTCTAATTCACAAGCACTTTCAGTCCTCACCTTCAATTTTGAAGCAAAAAGTCTGTTAGAACCTCCAAGCTCCTTCACATCTCAAGTTGCCTCTCCCCTCTGATGAGAGTACTCTCACCTCAATGTGTCTACTGCCCTTCAGGGGCCACTGCACTTCTCAAGCTGTTTACTGTCATGCCCCCCATAAATTCTTTGTGGTCCACATTCTGCTCACCTGCTCTCATTTCCACAAAACTGTGCTCTCATATATTTCTAGGAACTAAGATCCGGCATTAGTGAAAATAACCTACACCTCCCTGGGAAACTCTCTTTCTACAAGGGGTTCAGGAAGCCAGCAGGCTGCCATGCACCTGCCTGAGTTTGCCTAAGTGTCTCATAAATATCTCCCTTCCTCTTCCTGATATTTAATCTTTATCCTAAGTTGATTATGCCAGATACTGTACCAACAATAATAGGAAGATATGTAAAACATGCACAGCTTTCAAATGTTCCAAGTTTAGACAGCCAAGTAAAAAGATTGTGAGATGGCACTGAGGTCCAAGCTATGAGGAACATAAACAAAAGATCGAAATCACATGGCACATAACACAGTTCATTGCTTACAAGTCATCCTCCAAGACCATCCACTCCTAAAAGCAATCTGCATCATCTTTGTGTCACTGATATCTTGCAAAATTCTGGGCCAAAAATACACAATACATATTTCCGGACTTCCTGATACTGAGTGAGTGAATGGATGCAGATGGAATGGCTGGCCTGTAGCAGGCCTGGGGAGCAGACATCTGGGTGTTTCTCCCTTCCAGGGTCCCTCATGGCCTTGTGCAGGGAGATCCTGAAACCCCAGTGCAGTGAGTGTGAGAATACTCACTTCATCCCTGGTTATGAAAGTCACTGCTGTGCATACATGGGCTATGCCTCACTCCTGGGAAGACACTGGGCCCAGGATAAAAGGGCTCCAGTGCTGAGCTCCTCAGTCTCCTTCTCTGACAGTGACAGCTCCTGCCTCCTCCACAGACCAGGTGAGTGCTTGCAAAGGAGGCTGCAGGGGGACAGGAGTGTGAGGAGGAAGGGGCAGAAGAAAGCAGGGCAAGAGGAAGGAGTCACTGGGGGTGGATGTGGGGACTGTGTGAGGATTCTGTGACCTGCAGAAGTGCCTAGCTTCTCTCTGTAAAGTCTCTCAGTTCATCCTCTCCTGACTTCTCTTGGTCAAGCAAAAACATGGTAAGAAAGAGGCCATGTGGCTGGAAATGTTGTAGGTTCAGGAGAAGAGGGCAATAGGAAGACCTGCACAGTGGTCCGTGGGGTAGAGGAAGAGAGGAAGAAAGAGCAGCAGGCACATGGTTGAACTGCAAAGGTTTGGGCCATAACGATCTTTCCCTCTCATCCTCCTTCAATAAGCATGCTCAGAGATGATGAGTATCCACTGGAAATGTTTGAGAATAATGGATCCATCATGGGAAGGATTTTGAATTAAGGGCTGCAATGTTTCCATGTGGTGGAGAAGCCTCAGACAGGGACTGACTTTTAGGTCCATGTTGGAAGAGAGTATCTTTGACTGGAAAACAACAAAAACCAAGAGAGAGGTCTAGTGTAGTCAGTTACACTTCTATTTTGTTTATAGATCTAGTTCACAAAGAAGCTTGTCTTGGGTGAGGAGTCAATGAAATCCAGAGAAAAGGACACATCTATTTGTGACTTGCGTGCTGATGGATTTTCATTTTCTCCCTAGGTTTGCTGACTTCCTGTCTAAAATGTCCTACCAGCAAAGTCAGCAGCAGTGCCAGCCCCCTTCCAAGTGTCCTATCCCTAAATGTCCCCCCAAGAGCCTACCTAAGTGCCCGCTCCCATGCCCAGCCCCATGTCCTCCTCCAGTCTCGTCGTGCTGTGGCCCCAGCTCTGGTGGTTGCTGTGGCCCCAGCTCTGGTGGTTGCTGTGGTTCCAGCTCTAGGGGTGGCGGCTGCTGCCTGAGTCACCACAGGCGCCACAGACCCCACTGCCACAGACATCACACCTCTAACTGCTGCGGCAGTAGCAGTCACCAACAGTCTGGGGGATCTGATTACTGCTCCAGGGGCTGCTGCTGACCTCAACCTTGAGGACTTACCACAGCAGAATGGGAAGAACCAAAGTGTGGAAGACCCTTACTCTGCAGCCTGCTGCTCCTCCACTCTTATTTTCTGTCTTCTGTGTCCTGCAGTTGGAGCTACTGAAATCTTCCAATGGGACCTTCTGCTTTTTCCTAAATATTTCTGGCCCCCTTTTCTTCTAGTTATAAAATTAAAAAGTCTTTCCCTGAACCTACCTGCCTTTTGCTTATTTTGTCAGCAGCACCCCCATAGATCATGTTAGGAAGTGGATCCCTGCACTGCTGGGAGATAGAAGCCTTCTTAGGAGTGTGGGTCAGCTGTCCAGTGTGCACTCACAGGCTCCTGCTAGAAAGACTTGCATAGGACCTATCCTGCAGGTCCTATTCTGCAGACAGGACCACTCTAGGTTTCCAGTCGCTGGTTGAGGATGTTCATCTCTGTGGGTACACTTGAGTTTTTTCCACATTTAATCCACTCTATCTTTATTAATAATTATAATAATAATGTTTCTAACTGCTAATATTAAGTGATGAATTAAAAAATACTAGTACTGCACCCAACAACAAAAACCTGGAAGCAAGCCAAATGCTCTTTTACTGGAAGGTGGCTGAGACATTGTTAGACATTCACACACAGACTGGGATTCAACGTTCCAAACAGCGGACTGAAGCCTCACACCTGGCACAAATAAGTAGAAGCACCTCTCAGAGCCTTACATGCAGCAAGATACTCTTTTATAAGTTAAATGACAGTAAAATATATACTTTTGGCTGTTGTACATATGGTTGGAAATAAGTACATAAATGGAAAATGAGATATAGATAAAAAATTTCTTTTTGAATAATGAGTAGTTTGGATAGGAAAGAACAGAGTGCAGTGTGTGGGGTAGAAACACATGGTTAGAGGTAGGGTGGATATTGTCAACATCTTAGTACTCATTTCAGTGGGTTCTCAGTTCTGTTTACAGTAGTAAAATGTATAAATAAATTAATTATTCAACAGATAGATGAACAAAATGAATAATTAAGTGGGTCATGCATGGGAAAATGATGACAGTGTGTCATGGTCCAAGAATTCTGATTTCTCCCATGGTTCTGATTTTCCAAAAAGTATGTGATACTGGTAAATTCTATAATGTTCTCATTTGATTCTCACAGCTCTTTAAATATATGATTTTGATTTCCATTAATTTTATAAATAAGAAAATTGAGGTTTGGTTAAGTGAACTAACTTGCCCACATTTAAACAGTAAGAACAAGCCAGACCCCTGTCAGTATCTGAGACTTTTACTGCCTGGTCTCCTCTCTTCTCTTGCTCCTCCTCCCTGGTGGGCAATCTGATACTCTTGTGACATCAGTTATCATTGTCATGCCAATGTTTAGGAAGCTTTTTCTAGAGTGCACTTCATTGACCCCCAAATCTAAAACAGCCTACTTGTCATTTAAAACTTACTCAAACACATCACTCTGCTTTATTTTCATTTTCCTAATCACCAACAAATGGTTTCTTATTTACTTATTTGTGTGTTGTTTTCTTCCCACTTAAATGTAAACTTCATGAGATTACAAACCTTGTTATCTTGCCTGGTGTCATCTCTTTAGTATCTAGAATGGAATATTGTGGTTACATGGAAAATATTTTCTAGCTACATAGCTCCCAGGTCAATATTTAAAGTCCATTTGCATTTTCCTAGCCTTAGATTGATTCATTTAATTGTCTTTCAGATTTCACCAATCAAGAGTTCCATTCTCATCTTAAATTCAAAGTTAAAAAATAATTCCCTTTCATTCATTAAACCACCTCTCTGTTGATTTTCAACTTGGTGAACAGCATTTTTATCTGTTCAGTTCAGAAATTGAAGACATTTTGCTTTATTCTCTCTCTTGTAATCCTTTCCCCCCATCTCTTGGGTGTTCATTGGCTAATGAAAAAGCTAAAGTGTCATTAGGATAAATGATACTCAGGCAAATGTTTAAGAACATATTTTATGAAGTACTGATAATTTCATTTTAAAGAGATCATTTGTTTTATTGCATTATTGAGAATAATCTCTCATTTGTGAGGTATATGCATTAGGGACATGTATCATCTCAATGAAGTTCGAGTCTGTGTCTTTGAGTTTTTAACTTTTCTTTTCTTAGTGTTCTGTTCTGTCAAAAAAGATAACATAATCACATGTCATAGGCTTGTTGTGAAAATTAGATGAGTTAATATGTGTAAATAAATGGCTTAGGACAGGAAAATAACTTTTTGTTCTCAGGTGACACAAAACCCTCAGAAACACACTTATTTCACAAGGTGCAGTTCTTTTGCCATCACCACGATGAGCAAACTTATCTTCATATTAACATCAGCATCATCACCATGAAATAGCCACTTTCATCAATGATACCAGTTCTTTGAACCAACCTCTATAACTAACCTCCATAACTAACCCAACCCACATCATCCATGACTTTGCTGAATATATAAAGATAAAGTCCTTGCAATCAATTCCACACATTTCACACTCAGTTGAATACTGTCTTAATAAATATTAAGTTTTTGTTTTGATAAATCTCAAAAAGTGATGATTTTCCTAACTGTTGTTTCTAATTCTTTATAAAGTTGTCTTTCACTTCTCAATTATTTAATACTTTATTAAGCTCCTTCAACAGAAGATAAATTAAATAGTGACTTCTGCTCTCACATCTCTTCCAAAATCGGTTTCTCAGAGGTCATCATTGATTTCCTAGCAGACGAATAGAAGGGCTCACTGGAGCATTTGACAATGATGATCATCTTTTTCTTAGAACTCTCTTTGCTTGAGTAATAATGACTTTTGAAAAGTATTTTTTCTTTCTTAGTTTAATGCTGACCTCTCCTATGCAATATCCATTCTATTTTTCATCTGCTATGCATCAAGGACATGTTGGTACCCCAGTTCTCTTTGGTTCTGATGACCATGAGGAACTTGTCCTTGCTATAGCATCACTAGGTACCATGTTTCTTTCTGGTCTGAGTTACATGCCCTCCCTTGAGCTCCATTAGCACCTAGGGCCTATGTCTAACAACAAAGTCACACATTTCCTCATCTGTCTTCTGCAGTGACTGTGACAGCCTTCAAGGCAGGGATGAGTATTTCAAGTGCTTAGTAGGGTGTCCATTCCAGTGTAGAACACAGCACATACATGCCTAATTAGGTCTCCTTGCCTCTAATTTAAAATATGGTAACAATGCAAGAATATGTATTTCATATATCTGAATATTTTCTACATTCATAGTTTTCTCAAAAGCAAAGTTCAATGTAATCTCCATGTCACATTTGACCCAGTGTGTGTCCTCATCCAGGTACTTCTAGAGTCCCCCAGATAAACTGAGACTGAGTCACAAGCCTCTACCATGCATACTGAAACACAGCCTCTTTGTCATTCTTTAGTTAGTCAGAATCACAAACTCCTTTCTTCTTATATGCCTATTCTGTTTATGGAACTCCAGGAGAAATAGAGATGAATAAAATCCTGTATAAATTCTGTTCTCAGCAGACTCTCCCTCTTGAAAAGCAGACAGGCATGTAAATGGCCATGACATTGTAAGCTAAGAGCTGTTAGGGGCACACACGGATCATAGAGCCTTGTCCAGCACATTGTAAATTGATTTATAATGCACTCTGTACATGTACATCCTCAAGGAAGCCCAGCTGGTCTTTATGAAAATTATCTCTTGCAAAATTCTGGGCCAAAAATAGACAATACATATTTCCTGACTTACTAAATGAGTGGATGTATGCAGATGGAATGGCTGGCCTATAGCAGGCCTGGGGAGCAGACATCTGGGTGTTTGTCCCTTCTGGGGTCCCTCATGGCCCTGTGCAGGGAGATCCCAGAGCCCCAGGGCAGTGAGTGTGAGAACAGTCACCTCATCCCTGGTTGTGAAAGTCACTGCTCTGCATACATGGGCTATGCCTCACTCCCGGGAAGACACTGGGCCCAGGATAAAAGGGCTCCAGTGCTGAGCTCCTCAGTCTCCTTCTCTGACAGTGACAGCTCCTGCCTCCTCCACAGACCAGGTGAGTGCTTGCAAAGGGGGCTGCAGGGGGACAGGAGTGTGAGGAGGAAGGGGCAGAAGAAAGCAAGGAGAAGGAAGAAATCATTCAGGATGAGAGATATGAAGGGTCCTGCAACCCCTACAGGTCTTGGTTCTAAGTATCATCATGTTCTAATTTATTCTTTGGGAAAAAATGTCCTTGGATATGTCTTATCCATTTGACATCCTTGAGATTAAGGGTTAAAACTGAATAAATTACATTGTGTCTTTTGGGGACAAGAAGGTTTATATCATGGTGACTTTTGAGCCCATGTAGGAAGATGATCAACATACATATAGAAGCAAAGTAGAAGAGGAGAGAGATATTTGTTAAAGCTTGCTCTCCTCCATAGCAGTTTTCAAGTGCCATTGTAGGGCCTGGTTCATGAACCAGCTAGTTGTAGAAAGTAGGCTTTTATAAAAGCTGGAGAAGACAAAGGTTAATGAATTTTTGAGATTGTGTACTGATTTCTTTTTTGTTTCTCTCAGTTTAACTGAGCTTCTCCTGAGATGTCCTGCCAGCAGAACCAGCAGCAGTGCCAGCCCCCTCCCAAGTGCACCCCCAAGTGCACCCCCAAGTGTCCTCCCCAGTGCTCAGCTCCATGTCCCCCTCCAGTCTCTTCCTGCTGTGGACCCAGCTCTGGGGGCTGCTGTGGTTCTAGCTCTGGGGGTGGTGGCTGTTGTCTGAGCCACCACAGGCCCCATCTCTTCCGTCGGCACCGACACCAGAGCTCTGACTGCTGTGAGCGTGATACCTCTGGGGGCTCTGGCTGCTGCCATGGCTCTGGAGGCTGCTGCTGAGTTGGGTCTTACCCACAGAAGAGCAGCAATCGGAAGATGCAAGGAATATGGACCCACTCCTCTGAACTTCCCCTCACTTTACATCCTCTCTTCTGTTCTGGAGTTTGAGATGCTAAAACAATGAAGTCTTCTTATGGAGCTCTTCACAACTCCCTGGTTCCAAACCCCACATATCCCTCCATGGAATCATCACTCCCTCAATTCCACCATGAGAAAAATAAAGTTTCTTCTTCCAGCAGCCCTCCTCCTTGCTCTTGATCTTTCACCCACACAGCACCACCTTCCTATATTCTTTCCCTTCCACCCATGGATCAATGTTTCCCTGGGCAGTATCACCCAATTCAGGTTCTGAACATGCCAGGGAGTGTGCTGGTTTGTGCAGACAGACCCCAGGACAGAGACCCAGAGCAAGTTCAGTGATCTCATTCTTTAATCCAGAAAAAGGGCTTCTTCCCTTCCTGTCAGTTCCAGTGTTGGGGACAAAATATGCCACACATGTACTGGGACATTAGCTCTCATGTTTACTGTAATTCACATTAAAGAATACTCCTAATATTGGTCATGTTTTATTTTTATAACATTCTTTGATGGGTAGGTAGGAAAGACACAACCGATAGCACTGGGACATGAAGATACAGAGATTTGAAGAGGCCCTATGGAGAGTCTATACAAGAGCTGAGACCAGAGCATGAAGTCCAGTCTTTTGTTCTTTTAATTATTTCTAAAGTCATGTGATCAAGCCTATATACTCCAAATTATTTAGCTCATTGGAAACTATTTCAGAAATGATTATTTTACCATTAGGTGAGCATCACAATATAATAAAAACAGCTATAATATTAAGTAATAATAATATAATGATGGCTATAATGACTGTTGCCTTTATTGAAGTCCTATTCATAGCCTGACTCTCCATATACCTTATTTAACTTTTATAACAACCTATGAGGTTGACTACTTACATTTTATATGTGATGAAACTAACCAAGGCTCAGAGAGAGGAAGCGACTTGCTAGGCTGGAGGCAGAGCCATGGGATAAGCCAAATCCTGTGCTTCTCCAAAGACCCTGCTGTTCCTGTGGTCACTCAGCCTCCTAACTGTGGGTTTTACTTCTTGAGATCAAATAAAATAAAGTGTCTTACAGTGCCTAAAACTAGTATAAGGTCAACAATTCACTTGGTAAGTTAAGAGAAACAGTCTCCACACCTGTGTTCCTGCTTCTGCTCCAGCTCCATGCACACCATCTTTCTCAGGGCACCCAGAGCCTGATCCTGTTACACCTCCACTTAAAATACATGCCAATGACCTGAGGATGTGGCAGGGCTGGCCCTTCCTCTTGCTTCATGGTCTGCTTTCAGTTCTAGGAATGCACCACAAGGTTCCCTGGTCCCCATGCTTTCCCTTCATACATCCTGTTCCCTTGTTTAGCATGCTCTTCACACCCTTTGCTCCTACTTATCCTTTAGATCTCAGCCCCATGTTTACTTGGAAAAGTCTTTTCTGCTCTCCCTGGCCAGATCAGCTCTCCCCTAATGAGAGCATTCCCAGTCCTAGGCAGCTCTCATTATTCTGTGGACCTCTACTGCCACATGCTAATCAGGGTTATCATTGGCTATTTATCTGCATGGCCTTTGGATTGTTTGTCTTCTTCACTTGAGGAAAAGGCTCTCTAAGAACAGAGGCTACATTTACATTTGTGTATTTGTTTATCTTATTGTTGTGTCCCTAGGATATAGCATAATGCTTCATTCACAGTAAATATCCAGTAGCTGAGTGAATAACTGCATGCACCAGAGAATGAACAAATCAGCATCAACATCATCACCACCATTCCTTCAAAGTATATTAGTATTGAAATGTCTTTCTTAACTGCTCCATCCCCTCAGGACCTACATATACTAAAATATATTTATAGTCTACCTGAAATTGAAATTCAACTGGAAATCCTGTATTTTTACTTGTTAAATCAGGCAACACTACCCCAGACACCTGTGGGCCACCTGATTTCACATTTGGAGGCTCTGTGAGGTCCCGTCTCCCACTGGTCTACATGTGTGGCTTTTTCTCCTGAATGAAAAGGTAAATCATTGGATGGCCTCAACTCTTGATTCATCCTCCAAGTGCCTCTTTTATTATGCTCCTACTCTGTGAGTATGTCTATCAGAGCCCTTGTCACCCTGCATTACACGTGTCTAAGTGTTTTCTTATTTGACTGTAAACTCCTTGAGGGTGGAGCATCTGAGTAAGTGCTCTGAGAGCGTTTGTTGAATGAGTGGACAATGATGGTTCTTAATTCAATTCTAGGAATGATAGGTGACCAGTAAATACTTGTTGAGTGAACTGGATTTAGTAAGCTCCACTTTCTGAACTAAGATCTTACCCATCTAGCATTGAGCATTTGAGACAATGACTGTTAATAAGGGAAATATAAAAGGAGTAGTTATCACCAAGAGGAAAACACTATTTAAAATGTGTAATTCAATGTTTTTAGTATATTCACAGAACTGTGAATAATCTAATTTTAGAATGTTTTCATCACCCTAGAATAAAATTCTATGGCCATTAGCAGTCACATCTCATTCCCCTGAGTCCTAATTTGTCTCTACAGGTTTGCTTGTTCTGAGCATTTCCTATAAATGGAATCATAAAGAATGAGGTCTTTTGTGCTTGGCTCCTTTCACTTAGCATAGTGTTTTCAAGGTTCATCCATATTGTAGGATGTGTCAGAATGCCATTCTGTTAATATACCACATATGTTTATTCATGCATCACCTGATGGACACTTGGGTTGTTTTTGCATTGTGGCTATTGTAAATAATGCTACAATAAAATATTCATGTATACATTTTTTAGTGGATATTTTCATTTTGCTTAGTAGGATTTTCATTTTGCTAAAAGGGGAATTGGTGGATCATACTGTTTTCCTTAGTAGCTGTACCATGTACATTCCCACCAGCAGTGTACTGAAGGTTCCAATTTCTCCATATTCTCCCTAACACTTGTTACTACCTTTGTTTATTAATAAGCATGCTAGTGGGCATGAAGTAATATGTCACTGTGGTTTTGACTTGCCTTTTCTTAATGACTAGTGATACTGATCATCTTCTCATGTGCTTATTGGCCATTTGTGTATCTTCTTTGCAAAAATGTCTATTTGGATTCATGGTCCACTTTCAAATTGTGATGTCATTTTTATTATTGAGGTGTTCATGTTCTTTATGTATTATAGATACAAGTCTTTTTTCATATATGTAAATCGCAAATACTTTCTCCAATGCTGTGGGTCATCCTTTCACTTTCTTAATAGTTTCATTTGTAACACAAACGTTTTTAATTTTTCTGAAGCCCAATTTATCTCTTGTTACTTGTGCTTTTGGTGTTGTATCTAAGAAGCCACTGCCTAACCCAACACCATAAAGATTTATTCCTATGTTTTTTTCCTAAGAATTTTATGGTTTTAACTCTTACATTTATGTCTTGATCTATTTTGAATTAATTTTTGTGTGTGGTATGAAGAATTATGTATTTTATCTTAACTTCTCCCATATTTTAATGAACAACTATATAATCTTATTGTACAAATTTATCTTCTCATCTTTCTACATACATATCTAATGCTGGTACTGTCTATTGTCATAGCTTTCTATTTTCTATTTTTTCATTATTCTGTCTCAATTGGTAGTTTGATCTCTTTTTCTCTCTCTATTTTTCTAATTCGATTTCTATTTTTAACATCAGGATGAAAAATAACTTCAGAATTTCTCTAGTCCAACCTAGACCCGGAGAATTTATATGATTTCACTGGAGGTCATACAACTCTTTATGTTAATAAAAGATACTTAAATAAGTAAATTAACATTATAATAATAAATTAACCTCAACATTAAATTTAGGCAAAATATATATAAGATATCAAGTCTGTAAACTGGAAAGTAGTTTACCTTTGAAATCCATAGCAAACAAATAATTTAAACATAAAAGTTTAACCTATATTTTTACTTTCAGTTTAATAAAGGGATCCCATCTTTCTAGCCATCTTATGTCTACAGTTTTTTCTTATATTTTATCAGAGAAGCAAATCTTTTTATTGGTCCCTAGGGCTTATTGCTAGATTTATTTACATAATGCATTCAATAAACACTTATTGGGCACTTTCTAGGAACCTTCTAGGCACCATCTTCTACCATCAAAATTCTCATCACCTTGTGAAGAAACCAGACACATCAGCAAAGAAATACAGTATTTGTAGGTCCTATAAAAGAAGATTGTTGAAGACCCAAAGGTGGTCCATTTTACCTGGGATAACTGTGTGAATAGAGACAGATAAGACTGATGGAGACAATGGTGTTTGAGCTAAATGAGATATTTAGCTCAGTATTAATATGGGAAATATTAGTAGATGTTTGGTATACATAGAGAATAGAGGTAGATAGGGAGAAAGGGAGCAGGAGAGAGTGTTCTGAGCAGAGGAAAAAATTCTGAGAAAATGCAGTAAAATGAAACACCAGACTACATTAGAAGTAACTGTGAGGAGTTAAGATGTAGCTAAAGACTTCTCAGTAATCAAAAAAGATCAGTGTTTGATGTATTTTGCCAATGAGTCCCCTTTGCTGTGCTCTAAATTATTAGCTATTGATAACCCAGTGATGTTACATTGGTAACATTCTGTGAAACTGAGGATCTGATTAAGCAGGACTTTGCATTTGCCACTGTAAAAATTGAGAGCTTACTATGATTTTTAAAAAGCAGTTGGTTTAGTTTCTCATTTGGCTTAGAGTATTATTGCTTGATGGTATGAGTCTTACAAGATAGGAAGTCTTTCAGAAGTCCCAAATTCTCTGTGCAACTGAATACAACTTGCCTAACTTAGTTTTTATCCTATCAATGAAACATACATACATTCTATTTAACTGAGGCAATATTATCAAATTTGCAAAATGTTTATAAGACTTAAAGTAGATAAAGCTCTATTTTGTGTCATTGCATGCTCTGTTTAATATTAACATTTCTCTGTTCTCCCTATCACAACCTTTAGGTGTCCGTGTTTCTTCATTTATTAAACAGCCATGTGGTGACAATTTATGATACTACCTTTACTCTAGTGGATATTTAGGTACTCTGTGGCTTAAATATACATCAAGTCTATTGAAGCTGGGCTCAGGGAAAAACACTTATGGTGCTCCGTGGCAAAGTAAAACCCTGACTACTTCAATTCTTGAG